TTTGAAACCAGTTTCTTGCTCCTGCACACTTATCTCAGTCTCCAGGCCCTTTCTATATTTGGCTCCCTGTGGCAAACCCTGCCCTCCCCTCCCAGCGTCATTCACTCAGCAGATGTTGGGAGGCTCGGCAGATGTTGGGAGGCTCGTCAGGCAGCCCCAGCAAGTGTGGTTAGGTGGCGCAGTGTAGGAGGATGCAGGCAGCCTTGCCTGCACCATGCTGCTGGAGAAACCCCAGTGGGGCAGGGCTGGGGCAGCTGAAGGGAGGCAGGCTCACTTTCCCTGCAGGAGGGAGGTTAAAACAGCTGTCAGGGTGCCAAAGTGCCCCGCGTAGGCTAGCAGAAGAAATGCCTTCTCAGTAGGTCTTGTCTTAGCCTACTGAAGGGGAGGGCAGAAAAATCGACTCTGTAGCCAGCTGGACACCATTTGGCACTTGTTATTGTGGGCACAATGAAAGCAAGCTTAAATTTGAATTTATGAAAGAACAGGGTGAAGAGGTTTAGAGGACTGAGGAACATTACCTGTGAGAAAACATCCCAGGATCAGGAGCGTCCACGGGTAAGTACCCATAGCTACCAAGAACTGCAACAGAAAGGAGAAGGCAAGAGAGGGACAGTTAACAGACTGATTATGGTACGAGAGTTTGCAAGACTCCTCTCCCACAGTGCCCTAGCACAGCTTCCCGGCATTCTGTATGGTGCAGCAGAGAGAAACAGCCCGAGGACACCTTCTCACACCCACAGACCACTGAGACTCATGCCACCACCTCTCACGAGGTACGTGGGGCCACAGACACATCACTAACACGGGGAATGCAGCTAAGGCACCGTAAGCCCTTCTCTCCACTGGCAGTGTAAGGAGCCAAGCCCTGTTGCACTCCCCTTCCAAACAGCCTGTAGGCAGCTCTGGTGCTCATTGTAACACCAGGACTGAGCCCACAGAAACACCCCTGCAGAGAGGCAGTACCCTCACGGGCACCAGTGAGCATGCAATGGCTTTATACAGTAGGTTCTGACCTTTTAGCTGCAAGCAGCTTTTATGGGAGAAAAAGCATATTTTAAAGCTACTTTCATTATGAATAGTACAATCCTGAGTGATATTTTTGTTTTGCCATTGTACATATGTATATATATAGCTTACTGAATACAATGCAATACAAGAGTGTTTATTGCTTATTTAGCAAGAATTTGCTTGATTGAGACACATGCTATTTAAAACATATGCCAAATTTTTCTAATGGAATAAATCCATGACAGACTGTAAGCCAGCACTGCCCTTCACAGAGCATCTCTTCTCCCCAACAGTGTGGAGACTCATAGATCACACTCAATAATTTCAGCTTTCAAACACATAATCCTAAAGCATCAGTCTTGAAGAGGCAACAATGGCAGTAAGCATCTATGTAATTTTTGTGCCATCTAACAATATTTCTACTTAAAACCCTCAAGCAGCCTGCTAGATAATTTTCAAAGGAGAAGCTCCTACAACACCTGCTCCCACTGAAATCAATGGACGTTTTGTTGGTGACTTTAATAGTAACTGGATCTGGCCCAAAGCCAATATAGATTGAAAAAAGACTGCACGGAAGAGACCTTAATCTGAAACACAGACTGAGGAGTAAAATAAAGGATGATGTGCCAAGACAGGGACCATTTTTCAAAGGTTCTGGAGAGTTTCTATTCACCCTCTGGCATTCAGTTCCTGATGCTAAGATAGTAAAGCACGTAGGTACATCTAGTTATTATGATTAGTCCAGTGCCATATAGGAAATAAATGCTAACAACATGCCAAGGAGTGTTTCTGAACTAGTTCTGCTTTCCTCCCACAACGTGTGGAGCAGACAGCGGACCTTTGCAAAGCAAGAAGTATTTGATACTCGAATCAAACATAAATGTCTCAGAAACAGGATTAGAAGATTTACAAACTACCAGACTCAAAACCACATGCAAATAACTTCAGAAATTCAGCTGACAAAATTTCAGCAGAGACAAGGCATTTTGCCTGATTCTTCAATTAGCAATAATTATCACATTTTTATGTATCTGTCTCCCATTGATAACAGACTTCCGAATATCAAAGAAGTCCCTCAGCCTCCTTGCTCATTTTTATCATATTTATTTCCTGCATTTCTTTCTGATAAAGTAACCTACTATAAATCTTTAAAGACTTACTATGGTTTGCTTTATTGATCTGACTCCTAGCCTCCCAAGATCTGCAAGACAATGTTACCCCACTGTCTGCCAAGTTTCCTTCTGTCTTTTCTCTCTGAAAAGCAGATCTCTCCCCCTTTTCTGTGTTGTTTTTTCAGACTATTCATCACAAGTGATGCAGCACAGAAGGAGAAAAAACAAAGCCAGCTCATATGTTGTAGACCAGTCTGCAGGAGCTCTGCTGAAGTGGACTTGCGCTGTTGCAGAGCTGTAAGTGAGGACCAAAACCCCATATTGATACCTGTGTAAGTATAGGTGATGGTGTGTCCATAGTCCAACTTCGAATTTGCTATCTTTGGTGGGCTGCCATAGAAATCAATAAGAGCTGGCTGTCTCAATCATAGAATGGTTTGGGTTGGAAA